GCACATGGACATGGAGAACAGGTTTAAACTGAAGCAACAGGATCCTCACTGTCCTTTTGTCTGCTCGATAAACATGCTTATCAGCAGCCTGTGTGCAGAAATAAAGTCATCTGAGAATACACCTGAACTCCAGCTGAACCCGCTCTCCTCTCTGCTTTACTCCGATTCTCTCACTTTCATCAGTTATTCTCCTTCCCAATCAGTACGGCTAGCGATTCAAAGTATCGCTTGCTGATTCAGACACTGGGCCTGAGAAAAGCCAACCTGCGAGGCCAAGACTATTGTGCTACCGGGGCACAGACTCTGGAAGTGGATCTGTGTCCTCTGGTGTCTATGCATGTGTGTGGGAAACAGCAGTGTGTGTGTGTGTGTAGTTAGTTGTAAGTGATAGATGTTCTAATTTGTCTGTTGTGCTTCACCTGATATTGACTGATACAGCTTGTCTTGAATCTCTCCTGCAGAAAGATCCTGTACGGGACCCAGTTTTTGCAAGGGGGGAAAAAAAATGACGTGTTGGAAAATGTCTGTGAAATTTTCCCTTTGGTTTATTAGGGTATTTTGGGTCATATTTTTGAGCATTTTTCCGAGTCGGCAATTAATTGAGACTTCAATATGTGTTCTGCACTGAAAATAAGCATGGCCATTTAGATTTATGTAAAACATAAGCTGGTCCTGGAAAGAGAGTAGTTAAAGATCTCTGATGTGGGCTGAACATAGACTGTATTAAAGCGTGGACGTAGTGTCCGTGACGTCACCCGTTGGTTTCTGAAGAGAGTTTTTGAAGCTCAAAGTGGGCGGAGCCGGCCGACGCCATCTTGGCAGCGCGTCACTCCCGGATAATCGAAAATGGGCAAAGAGGCTTGGAGCTGGTTGCTGAAACCACGCCCACACCTAGCTCAACGGTGGAGACAGCAGCGGCAATCCACCTGTCACTCAAGTGGCCACGCCCTTAATTATGCACAATTTTAAGGCTTAATATAATTTAAACGGATGAGTTATAAAAAAATTCACCCCCCTCACAGTTGTCATGAAGGGCAAAATTAGCTATATAGACCAAAACCACTTTTGTACCAGGCTGTAAACATGTTTTTTTCTGCTGTAAAGTTGGGCATTTTAACATGGGGAGTCTATGGGACTGACTCCCTTTTAGAGCCAGCCTCTAGCGGCCAGTTGAATTGTAGTTTTAATCACTTCCGTGTTGGTTTCACAAGAGAGACTGGAAGGTGGCCGCTTGGGGCTGAAGCATAATTATATAGGCTATCTGCTGTTCTGGAACCGCTTTTAAGGATCCTTTTGCTTGCTGACCAGCTTAGTCAAGCTGGGAGAGCAGTTTAAACAGGCTGAGACTAACAAACCAGGGTTGTGTATCCCAAAAGCAACTATGGCCGCTAGTTCCGTCGTTACCAACAGAGTTCAATGGAACTAGCAACCACAGTTAGCTAACGATGATTTTGGGAAACGCACCCCAGTTTAGGTTGATTTAATTTGATTTCTTTACCAGGGAAATGTGTTGTAATGAAACAGACTACTGAGATAACCCTTCTTCTGAAAGGTACAACTACATTTGAATACCATTTGATTTAGTGAACGTTTCTTCTGAACATTTTTTCATAGGTGTCATTTCTGCTGGAGACTAAATGGAATAGACCTTAATCAGGTTCGACATACTGAGTTTGACAGGTGAAAACGAGATTGTCACTAATTCTAAATTAGCCGACATGACAACAATTGTAGTTAGTAACATAATCCATTGCATTACATATTCTAAGTAATATAATCAGATTACTTTTGACCTAACTGATTTATCACATTGATTTGAATACAATAATCTTGTACACTCTTAAAAATAAAGATGCTTCAAAAGGTTCTTCAAGCGATGCCATAGAAGAACCATTTTTGGTTCCACAAAGAACCATTCAGTCAAAGGTTCTTTAAAGAACCGTCTCTTTATTACCTTTTTATAATCTGAAGAACCTTCTTTCACCACAAAGAACCTTTTGTGAAACAGAAAGGTTCTTCAGATGTTGAAGGTTCTTTATGGAACCATTTAGACAAAAAGGTTCTTCTATGGCATCGTGAAGCACCTTTATTTTTAGGAGTGTACTATATTGGTAAAAAAAAAATATATAAAGAAAAAGAAAATAAATTCCATTCGTTGTTACTAACAACATAATGTGCATTAAACAATACGTGAAGGTTTCCCAAACTGGGGTTTGTGAAGATGAGTAATGAAAATAATAAAAATGTAAAATTATTTTAAAATAACAAAGTAAAATACTTGCCAAAAATGATGCAACATTTGTTTACCTGCATGTCATGTGACCATTAACCATATGCAACCAGTAACTTGCATTTTAATGTGTTTGAAAGACAGAAGCCTTCCAAAGACATAGTAATGCGTTGTTAAATAAGCCACTGAGTGATCAAATAAAAATGGATGTGTTCATCAGTAGTTGATGCAATTTTGAAATGTTGAGAAAACACTTAAAATTGAAATGATTTTTGTAAATTCAGTGGTCAAATGCTGTGTGGCATCTTTTCTGTGTGACTACAGCCCCCTAGTGACTGGTCTTTGTGTGAATGTCCATAAAACTGGAAGACTGAGAAAAAGATTTAGGGAGAATCAATACATTTTGATAATTAAAATAATGTAGTGCTATTGGGCGAGTAATCCTATAATCAAAAAAGAAACTAGTTTGATTTAGGAGCATTTTAAATGTAATATAATATACAAGTACTTAATTTTTGGAACCCGATTATGTAATCCAGATTACATGTAATCAGTTACTACGCAGCACTGGTTGCTAAACAACAGTAATATTAATTGAACACACTTTTAGCCCTCACAGCCTCATTTTCATTCCTGTTGAAACTTAAATATTGCAGGTTCTTTTCTGTGACCAAATCTAACCTTATCAGAACGTTGCAGTGAGGGGTTTTTGTAACAATCTAACGAAAATGTATACAGAACGATTCTTTTTTTTATAACCATAAACGCTGGATTTGCCCCTTTGACTGCATCTTTGATTCAAAAGAGTTCATTTGTTGTGTATTACGGTCACCTAGTTGGAAAACTATAATATTACAGCTTTAGGACTTCTAAGGTCAAATAGCTCGACCTTATAACTCGTAAAATAATATGCTTGTGTCGCAACGCATGTCTATTTAAAGAAACGGTTAGAAATAAGCTCTGGTCAAGATCAGGTACTTAATTACACTATTAATTCAAATAATTTATTCACACAATGGAATGAAAATGAGATGGAATGTCACAGAATTGAAACAATTGAATATTTGTAGCATCTTTTCACAGTGAGACAAACCAGCTAACGCCATAAAACATCACCGAATTCATAAAATCCATTGCCAACACTGACTTTTGTTATTGATTTTTTTTTTTTAATTATTGATGGGAAATCAAATATGAAGTAAGTCTTTAAAAACTGTGAGTATTATATCCGGTATATTAAGAAATTTATGATGAACACAACACTGTTGTACAAGTCTCAAATGTTTTATTTCTCATGTTCATGAATGACATTTCAATGGTTCCCACAGCATATGACGCAGCATGCAGAGAAATGAAGAAAGAAACAAAACGTTAAACCTAAAAGCGAAACGTTTTCATTCACTTGTATGTCTCCTGTGTCCAAAAACCACGGCTCTCCCATCGAAAGCTATACAGATGGCTGTCTGACCCCCAGCTAAAGAAATACAAAACAGAACTGAAAGCAAGGAGCATTAACAAGACACATTCTGTACAAAAAATAAAACATAACTCCCCTCTTTTTTTTTTTTTTTAAAGAGGAAAGAAAAAAAATCTTCGATGGACACCAATCCAGAATAACTCACATTTTTATTTGTTAATTTTCATAATAATAATAATAATAATATTTATGGATAAATGTAGTGAAGAAACTCGCTTTAAAGTCGTTTCCATATTTAAGCATTTACCAAAAGTTTGGCAACGTCCATATATTTATATGTAACTGTCATTCTGATTATAATATCTCAATAGTACGATTCATATGTAAACAAGAGAATCTTAACCCCCCCCAAAAATCAGATCTACATGCACAACAGAAAAAAAAGAGAGAGAGGGAAACCCTCCCGTATCATGCAAGCACATCACAAGACCTCGATGGTCTTCGGGAAAGACATATTTAAGCGTAGTCACCGTGCAGCAACTGGCGCGAAACGCCGGTTTGCGCGGGAGAATCACATTTAAAGCAAAACAGCGGAGTGACTGAACGCTTCGAGTTTATTCATCCCCACTGAAAGCGTCTGGTTTGGTCTCTCCTTTTTGAACAATCGAATCTTTGAAATGACGAAGGAAAAGAGAAACTGATCAGTCAGTCAGATCTGATTTTGCGTACTTCGACGAACCAACTCGATTAAAGCTTAGAAAAACCCGAACCCACAAAGCACGCAATCTGTCCTTCAATCCCTAATATACAAATATAAGATACTTAGGTCTTTACAATGCTGCCTGCAGTCAAGTTGGAAAAAATTAACCGTAAATTTCCACACACAAATATTAAAATCAGGATTCAGTTTGCCACAATATGCACTGTATCCTCATATGTAACTACAATGTCGAGAGGTCAATCAAAATTACTTGTTTGCGGTGTTAAAATGATAATAAATCCAGAATACACGCATAAAAATGTCCAGAAGTTTTACTGATGGCACTGTTCCATCCTACAGTAACGTGGTGTGATCTGATCGTCCCTTCCCACCCGGCCCCTGCGATAAAACACCGGTCTTAAAAGTAAACCATAGTCATATATGTGCACAACTTCAAATATATTTGCTTTTTATCCTATAGTCTACTGTATATCAGAAAGCGAGACGGTAGATGAACTCCCTGACGATATTAACACCGCACACGTTACATACACTCACACATTTTCGGTAAAAAATTCAAATCGGATTTGCATTTTGCATGAGATCTGAAGCAGATGTTTGCTCAAAAGAGGTGGAAGCAAAAAAACAAGCTTGATAATAAACTTTTTTTTAATCTCCCCATGACATGAAGAACATCAGATAGCGATTCCAATATTCAGCTATTGTTAAATCCCATGTATAGGCCCATGTTTCGATTGGCACTTCATGCTTGAAGCGTGTTGCACTGAAATCAAGTGTCAAGTCATATATATCGCTCACATACACATATTCCCAGTAGACCTAGATCATCTTTAAAAAAGACAGGACCAAAATAAATACAAAAATCCCCCCTTCAAAAAGAAAAATAAAGAACGTACCAACATGCATACACACACACACACACACACACGCTAACACACACCCCCTCCTCTCTTCCTTCTCTACCACACTGAGTCGCTCGGTAATCGATAGAGAAATCGTCTCTCTGACTGTCCTTAAATACCCGAGAATGTGGACAGAAGAATCTCATGCTCTATAACACTTAGGATGGCAGGCGTCACAAGGCTCAGGGAGTACAGACGGAGAACAGAGGCATCATTCAGAGAAATACTTCCATAGAAAGAGAGAGAGCAAGAAAAAGAGCGACAGACAGAGAGAGAGAGAGAGAGAGAGAGAGAGCGTGTTAGCGGAACATCTGGAGCTGATTCTCAGAAATGGAGAAGTGAAAAGTGTGTGTTCAGTGAAGGGCCTGTTCCATCTTGTCACACGTCCACCACCATCTTTTTGTGAATGTCTAAGCCACCAACCACCTGCGGAAGAGAAGGAAAAGGATGACACGAAAAATGTCAGTGCATTAAAAAGAAAAAGCATAATAATTTGATGGCAATTTTTTACTGTGCAAACATTTATAGCACATTAATTAAAGCACCACTGCTAAAACATACCAAAACTAAAAACATAAACTGGAAAAATATCAATAACTAGTCAGTTGTTCGACACAGTCTACTATTGCAACCCACTTTAGAGACAACATTCCAACAGTTGACAAACAGCCCAAAAATTAAAGATTTTATGGTAAATACTATTATGAACATGTTAATTATATTCATATTAAATGTTAATTATTATCTTTAATGTTCACTTTACAAAAAAAATCAATAAATTCAGTCATTCATGAGTACTGGACAATATATATATTTCAAAATCATTTAATAGAAACTGACAAGTTTTCCATTGAATGCCGGAATCATTAAAAATAAAATACACTCTGAAACCAGTAATAACCAATGCTTGGGTTAAAATGAGTGATGCACCAAAATTTCGGCATCTGAAAAGACTCGTTCAAAAATTAATTTTGCGTTTCGGCCAAAATCATTGACTGAAATTATGTTTAAAGGGGTGGTTCAGTGGTTTTTTTTCTATGCTTCATTGTGTTTAGGGTGCAGTCTAACATGTGTTAATGCTTAGTTAAAAAAAAACAAAAAAACATTATTTTTCACATAATTTACCTTTATTCCACACCGCTCTGTCCCTTCTCTGAGAAACACGCTGATCAATTCCTGCTTTTATGAAGCCCCGCCCTCAGAAATACGCGATGGGCTCTGATTGGTTAGCTAGCCCAGTGTGTTGTGATTGGCTAAACCGCCTCTAGTGCGCGTCTAAACGTCCCGCCCCTCACCTCAGCGGCATGTGCTCCAGTTGTATTATAAACAATGGCGTCGTTAATATCGCTTATCAGTTTGAGCCCGATTGAGAAGCAGAGGATATTATTGAAGAGGATCGCGCAGAACCTGTGCAAGCACTGCTCTTAATGCCTATGTTTTTTGTTTTCTCATACTTTTAGATACGCTGTTATTTGTAAATGCCACTGCTTATGTTAGCTTTTAATATACGGTTTTATCCTGATTAAAGCTTTAATACATTACGACAACTGCACGCGCTTCCATGTTTAACGTTTCTCATAGCTATGTGAAAATAAGTGTATAATTGGAACAGTTCATTGTTGGAGCTGAGCTGAATGAGAGAGAGAGAGATGCAGAGCAGGGGGACGCGAGGAACAGTATTAAGAACTGCTGCTTTAAAACGTTGATTTTGAAACTTGTGAATCCATTAGAATCTTTAGAAGACAGAATCAGGATTCATATATGAATAGATTTTTACGTGCACCGCTAGTTTTCTCTTCCTCTTCTCTAAAGCAGCGCAGCATGGCCTCGCCCCCTTTGCTGCCTTTTCCCGAGGGCGGGGTTTATCTGGGTTTGTTACATCACAAACCCGGGAAGTAACTCGTTGTAGTCCCTACCAGCCATTTTTGTAGGCATTAAACTGCCAGAATTTTAAAAGACGATATCTCCGTTTGCATTGAACTTTCAGCTTCGTAACTTTGCAGATATTGTTTATGCTCAAACAGCAACATTACACACTAACTAACGTTAAAAATGTGAAATCGCAATCAACCACCCCTTTAATTAGTGCTTCTCTGATGGCGTGTTTTGACTATGTAAGCATTTATTTGTGCACACAGTGTGGATAAGCTACAACAGGTAAACTATGGAAAGACGTCAATAAAACAGCTTCTAGAGGAGAATTTTGCTAAATATGCTCTATTACATAGTCTTTATATTTGTATATTTGCCTGTTGTCCTTATTTCATATACATATAATAAATCTCATGAAAACAAGGTTTTATTACAGACACAGTTTAAATTTTTATATTTTAATAACATATTGGAGTAGAAACAATTATATCAGAAAGTTGATCACTTGATTATTCAATTGGTTATTAAATAAACTTACATTTTTAGTTTCGGTAAAGTACTTCTGGTGCCTCATTAACCCTTTGTTTTATTTTCAGCTCATTTTCTCTTGCAGCAAAAGCTGAACATGGCAATTGCAGAAGAAAGTGTTTGGTGTGTCAAATTTAGCTGTATCCCAACATTAAAAACCAGACCCAAAATGAAATGACTCACAATGCAGAACTCCTCGAAAGATATCCTCCCGTCCCCATCCTTGTCTGCGTTGATGATGGTTTTGTCGACAATCTGCTGCAGCTGGGTGTCCTTCAGGTTATTCCCTACCATCATCTTCAGCACCTGGAACAGCTCACCGTTGGATATGTAGCCATCCTTATCCATGTCATAAATCCTGAACGCAACTGCAGAAACAAACAAAGAATAAAAAACCTGCCGGAAAGTGTGATCAAATGCTTTGCTCCAGTGCACTACAGACTAGTTTTATGAGGGGTTTTTGTGTTTATTTTGGTTTGGCTCAACACTGGATGAACATAGTTGTACTAAACTCTTAAACTTAACTAGAGGAAAGTGTTGGTGAAATTCAAGACTGAAAGACACTCACAGCGGAGCTTCTGCTCCTTGTCGCCCTTGACGCTGAACTGAGAGACGCCTTCAATGAACTCTGCAAGAAAAAAGACGGAAAATGGGAGTGTGATTTACACTCTTCACCTTTAATCGGGTCAAGTTATGTTCATGCATCTGAACTCCTCTAGAAAAGAGAGCCTCTGAAACCAGCAAATCTTGTGCTTCCACAAAAGTGCACTGGACTTCTCAATGCAACCATTTCAACTGAGATCTGTGTCAGAAAATGAACACATAATCTTACATTTCCTGTAGGAAATATCGGTTCTTCTAAAAGAGTTTAGCCCTTTGATTCGCATGAAGGCAGTTATGAATGGTTAAAAATATGCAAGGAAAACAAGACCAATCACAATTCAGCATGCAAATGAATGCAAGCAAAAAACACCAATCGGAATTCAGTATACTTTGCAATGACATCACCATCTTGATGCGTAGAACCCCCCCCCCCCCAAACAATGTACACTACACATCAACTGAAATAAACAGAAATAAACCTTTAAAGTCCACTTCTCCATTTCCGTCTGTGTCGAATATATCGATGACTCGCTGCACCAGCGGGTTCTGCTGCAACTCTGGTAGAGACATAAACTCCTCCACACTGAGAGAACCCGAGTTATCCAGGTCGAGTTTCTTAAACCGCTTTCCTAGTCTTTTAATCTCATCAGCATCAACTGAAATAGAGAGAGAGAGAGAGATGGACAAATAGTGAGAACAAGTAATTTCAACACAAAACACAATCAATACATCCTTTTCTCTTAGATTTTCCTCAGCTACAACCATACATCCATCTTTAAAATGTCAATTTAAACCAGCTTCAAAGATTGCACAAGTTTTAAAACACGCACTCACACACACAGGGATGCAATATTCCACATCCAGGGCTCTCACACACACTTCCATTCACCTTTGGGTGCCATCAGAAAGCCAGAACTCATCCCAGAATGAGCCTTACCCAGTTTCTCCTGCCTGGCAGACATGGTCATCCCTCAGAGGACTGCTGTTCAACTACAGCTCGCTCTTGTGCTCTGTGGGTCCGCTAAATGGCCTAATCTCATTCACACAGCCACGTGGTGCACACCTCCAGTAACCGGCTACCAGGCGGTTTGCTGATAGCACTGTGCAGTTAATCGAATTAAAAATCGAAATCACAATGTGGCCGAGAGCAGCGATTCTCAACCATTGTAACACTTCAAGTCCCTCGATGTCAGAGGCCCCAATACACATGTAACAAAGTACTTGTACTTCTGCATAACTCACTCTGCTCAACTAACATAGACGTTTTAAAGGAAATAACGATTAAAAATGCTGATATAAATACTGAGGTCAAGTGTACCATTTAAGAAGACAACATGGTAAACTTATCACTAATTTAATGATTAATTTTAGATTTCTCATTTGAATTTTATATGCTTTTCAAAAAAAAAAAAAAAGTTAAACATTTAAAAAATTTATTAAATACAAATGTCTGGCATGCTAATTTTAAGGGAGTGCAATTGTGTTAACACATTAATGGAAATTTACCAGATTTTTTTTTTAATTTCGCTTTAATTTATATGTCTTTGCATGAACAAACAGATAAAATAAAACATTTGAAGTTTTCAGCCATTTTTAATATAATTGTAACAATTGAAAGTTACAATAATTTGAATATACATGAGGTACTGCATACTCAGAAATTCAGAAAAACTAAACTAATGTCTTCCATTAAGGACAAAAGTGAATATCTGGGTCTCAGGACGACAGTTTAAGTTCTTTACAATATTCCAGTACAATAACATAATATCAAGTTGACTTTGACTCTGAAGTTTCAATGAAAAGCAAGCAGATGAAAAAAGAGCTCTGCCTTACTGGTGTTGTACATCCAATTATTCTCTGAGACACAAGAGGTAAAGAGACATATGCTGATTTCTGCTGTGCTATTTTGAGTTTGTGGACACTTCCCTGATTACCCTCAAGTGGATGATGCAACTGCTTATTTTACATATCTAATAATATGCCATGGATTAACCCTGATACAGTTAGTGCCAATGTGTGTCATTAAACCAGGTGACTGTATTACACCATCATGCATCTGTCATTCACCGAGACGTCAGGACAAAGCATGCCAGTGTCACAGTACAAATACTGAAAGTGTTATTTACGCTACCTAAAGGTGCATTCAAGGCAACAGAAGAATAAAAACAAGAGCTAAAGTTTTCACGCTATGCACTACGGCCCATTCGGCATCAGCAGGGGCAGTTGCATCACTGAGCCACAGTATTCAAACAATGTTGAGATGGGAGAGCCAGAGGGGAAATATTTATAACTGTCATGCTGATCCTCAATGGTTGGTCTCTCACCCTCACCCACTGTAATAGCTGATAAGTGCCTCTTAGAAAAGCCCCCTAGCAACAAGGACGGCCAACCCAGTGGAGGGAGAGCAGCGGTGTACGTGCTCATTAGCGCATGATGGTTTATAAAAATGTGTCAACTGCCGCAATATCATTTCTTCTACCACTGTTTTGTGGTAATAATTGTTTCACTTTAAAAATGTGTCTAAGGACATTACATTCTGCTCCATTTAGTTGTTTTTAAACATAAGAACTTGTCTTAATGCTCTAAGAAAGCTCAGTACAAGTTAAGCTCAACTGACAGCATGTGGCATAATGTTTTTTTTTAAAGATAATGCACTCCTATTACTTATGAACAGTGTTGGGGGTAACGCATTACAAGTAATGCGAGTTACATAATCAGATTACTTTTTTCAAGTAACTAGTAAAGTAACGCATTACTTTTTTAATTTACAAGAAAATATCTGCGTTACTTTTTCAAGATATAACGCATTACTTTCCATAAAAAGTAACTAAGTAACGTAATTAGTTACTTTTTTTAGGGAGTAACCCAATATTGTAATGCATTACTTTTAAAAGTAACTTTCCCCAACACTGCTTAGTGGGAGAAAGTGCAACATGAAATAAGGTGGAATAGTCCCGCCTTCTTAACAAAAGAGCCAATCACTAATTGATAAAGTCATCGCATCACTGCAGCTGCCTTTAGAAGCTCCAGTTGCTATAGAAACAGGACTTCTAGACGCACATGCACATTGGCAGGTCTGGCCTGAAAAATTGTCAGATTTCTTTGGTGAATTCAAATATGAAATTGAATCATTACCTTGGTGAACAGCTTTGGAGAATTTGGTGTTTCCCCATTCAAAGAGATTCAAAGAGCTGTACTTGCAGGACTGAAATAATAGCATTTCAAAGATGGCCACCGAGTGAATGACTTTCCTAAAAGGGACTTTGTTACCACTGCAGATATTCTTTTTTATTTGCTCTGCCTTTTTGTTAAAAGAAATAAGGGCATCTGGGTTACAGTGAGGCACTTACTGCACAAAGGAAGTAAAAAGTCAATTTTTAAATATTAAAATACTATCAATAAAAAAAGTAAACAACGTGTTGCATAATAACTATACTTGTGTGTGTAAATCCAATTTTATTTAAAAATTATTTAAAGTTTTATAGCTCAACTAACAGTTTTATCAAAAGAATTAATGTAAGTGCTTACATTCATAAATTCTGCTTTTAAATGATCCAAATTTTATTTAAAGTCGAAATCGTTTTTGTGGTAATCAACATTACACTACAAATGCTACCCAGAATACTGCTTTAATTATACAGGACGACCTTAACACCAGTTCAGACGACTGACTGACTAGCACATTTTGAAAATGCATAGTTTTGCACATTCTCTAGTAACCATGACCCATCATAACAATGCAGTGCTATATTGTTGTGCTCAACCTGGTGACCATCTAATCGCTTGCATTTCACATAAACAGTCTGTGTTTGCCAGATGCATTTCATCTACAAAAATGATTTGGGACAATGTCATAAGCGTCCTGTTACCACAGTCACTAACTGGAGAGAGCTTGTGGTTGCTAAGCACCCATCTGACCAACAGGTGGCTCAGTTTCACAGCAGCATACTTGTTCTCACCCTGTTACAGCCCTGCAAAATGTATTACTGTTGCCTCTTCATTCTGCAGCTAAACATCTTGGGAATGAAGCAATTAATCTTTCACCCTTCACCTTGACCTCCCACTGCTTTCATCAGTACTGGGTTGAATGAGGAAGAACTGATCACTGGATTTGTCAGGTTAGTGGCATGCTAGCATCAGATCAGATCTTTAAGAGGTTTGTCCTCTTATTCACAGGACACATACATGCAGTTTATTCTTTGCTGTGCACTGTATGTATCAGGAAGACTCATCTTAATCCAATGGTCTTCCCTCTGTGGTCTTGGAAACCTGTGCCAGTGAAGTTGCCATAGCAACATTAAGGGAACCCTGTGCTTGTTTCATTTACAACTTCATTTTTTTTCACAGAGCAAAAAAAGTTTAATAATTAAGATATCATTACAAATTTCTGCACATCAGTACATTTTATCTAATCAAAAAGCAATGTCTATTTGTGGAAAGGTTATGTAGTAACAGTTACACCCAAATGCATTTCTTAAAGGGGCAGTTCACACAATAATTACAATTCTGTGATCAATTACTCTCCCTTATGCCATGCCAAACCCGCATTACTTTTTTTTTTTTACTTAGAAGTTGCTTGAACCTATAACTTTTACTGTTGAACATAAAAATAAAAATATATTTTGGACTCTACTGACATTCCTAGTTTGGACAAAAATATAAAAAAAATATATCTCCTTTTGGTTTGGAACAACATGATGTTGAGTAAATGATGGCAGAATATTGATTTATGGGTGAACTGTCCCCTTAAATAATTGGAAAGGATAGGCTCTAGATTTTTCAGTCAAGCACTGGTCAGCACTTTTACATTAAAAAAGAGGTGTCAACAGTCCAAAAGCTCCTCTAATGTATTTGTCAGTGTTTACAATGTCTAAAATAGAGCAGAAAAAAACACATAAAAAAGAAACCTATTAAAAATGGACCATCACCTCGTGTTCTTCTACTCACTCCCACCAACTCTAAAAATAAACAGGCTCTTCCTGCAGCCCCGAGACTAACCTTTACCAGCTGGAGGCATTTATAGCCCTTATTTCCACAGTACGCCACCCTGTCTAGTCTGGTTGCACTAGCGCTGGCCCTGCTCCAGACATGGAGAGCCCCACTGATCCAGGGGATACCCTCTGCCTCACATCTTGATCTCCAGCTGATCCCAGAGCAACAGGCACAGGTGTTTAAAGGGCCGAACTAGACTACACTGACTGCTTATACCACAAGCAACATGTAAGTGACTAACCACAGGTCATCTTTGTTTATGATGTGAATGTGCAAAATTTCAAATTTAAGTTAAAGTGCCCCTATTATGGATTTTTTAAAATGACCTTTCATGCAGTGTGTAACACAGCTCTAAGTGAATGAAAACATCCTGCAAAGTTTAAAATCTGAAAGTGCACCGTGTATAAAGTTATTGTCTCTCAAAAGAAAGAGTCGACTCTGAATCATTGAAACGAGTCGTTTTTAAAACGAATCCCAAGCAGTTTCATGTTGACCTCATCATGAAACATTAGCATATTGCCCACCCACTTGTTGGTCTTTTCGCCTTTGGTCAGAATGAAAATGCTAATTAATTTTAAATAGAATAGATAAATATAGCGGTTTCCCCGGTAATGCTGTACACAAAGCAGCACTGCGCTCACAAACGCTGCTTTATCAGGCATTACAGGCATGATGCAATGAAACGGAGACCAAAGGCGGGGTTTGGAAAAATGAATCGTTAAACGAATCGCTTGGTAGTCATTGAGCAAATAAGGTAAAAATAAATGCATATTATAAGACGATGAAAGTGTTTTTTGACTGTGCATGCATGTCAACCTATTGTTCGGGACTCCCAAAACCAAAATATGAACCTTTCATTACCCATAATAGGGGCACTTTAAATTACTAAAATTAAAATGACTAAAACTGAAATAAAAATGAATGAAACAAAAACGCACAATATGCACCAGATGAGCTGAACACACTTTCAAAACCGTGTATTTGCCTACATAATCCATAGATCAATAATTACATAATCACTGTTTTCTATATTGTTGTGGGTTTTTTATTTATTTATTTTAAGAGTGCTGAAACAAATCCAGATATGGACGGCTGGTGTTTAAAACATCGTTTTAGACCTAGCACTTAACCAAAAATAATTTAGCTCAGAATTTAGCTTAACCTACATAAACTATGACTGGATTTACCCTATTTACCCAAAAAAGTAATGCAAAAGTACCTAAAGGGATTTTTTTTTAAAATAACACAAAAATTAGTAAAAATGTACTAATATGTATATAAAAAAATAAATGTTAACAAAAATAAAATGCTTATTTTATTTCACTCAGTAATTTTCATTTAGTTTAAGTATTAAAATTACTAAAACTAGAAGTAAAATAAAAATCAATACAAACTAAATGGAAATAACTAACAAAATAAATAAAAACAACAAAAATATTACAATATTACTAAAAATAATTTGTTTAATTACATCTTTTTTTGCTAGTATTGTTGATACCCATTTACTGATGCCTCTGTTAAATTGATTTTTTATTTTTATTTTTATTTTTTAAAGTAATTTCTGGGGTTAAAATATGTACAATATTAGTAATTCAGCATTACTTTGTGCCATCATTTTCAACATTTAATAGGCCCAACTCTTAAAGAACATTAAAAAAATATATATACTTTTAATTTAAGTGAACTTAAAACAATCTTCACTTAACCCATTATAATAAATGTCACATTTAGCTGTGGCTTTTATATAGTGTGTTATATGTAGTGTACATAGTAATACAGTGAAGTTTCGCTGTCTGTCAGTATCAGCTCTCTCTCTCTGTGTTTAAACGAGAGCTGTCTGTTACTTTCCCCCCCACTAAGTTTATTTTGCACATTCATTGTCACAGTAAATAAGCACAATTACTAGAAACATTTGGTATCAGTTTTTTAATGTGAGGATCGATCCTTTCGATACAACGTCAGTATCACAAGTATTCACACTTATTTCTGCAACTAGAGCTGTGCCTCTTAATCACTGATATATATACAGTATATGGGAAGAACCACTGAAGTTTTAGTTTGACTCGCTGATGCTTCAGTACCTCTGGTGAAATTAAGGAAACAAAAAAAACAAATACAATTTGAGGTAAGATGTAGCAACAGCCCAAAATACTTACAGTGTGAGCACATCTCCAAAGGATAACTCGCCTCATTTCCCTGTAGAGAGAGAACAAGAGTCTGAATCAGCATGACAGTGCACATGAAATGTTACTGATCAGTCCTACAGGTTCTGTAAAACTTGACAGACATACAAAAAATATCCAAAGGGGCCGAAGTTCACTTCTAACAGCATAATCAATGACTCGGCCTCATCAAATATCTCAACAACGCATACCATCTATTAGTGCTGGGCGGTATACTGGTTCATACTGAATACCGGTGTTTATTTTTGTTATGATAAGAATTTTTAAAATGCCGCTGTATGTCACTTAAACAACGTTCGGAACGCGACACTGTTTGAAAGAAGTCCCTTTTCACTGTTGCACTGTGGTGAGGGAACAGCTGAATGGGTTACTAAGCGTGAACGTTCCGAAACTGAAGCTGTAGAACTAATAGAACGTGATGACACAGAAGAACTCATCCACAATATCCACACTGACCTCCACAAATATCCACCGCCCCCCGCCATCAGCTCCCGCGTCTCACACACACACACACGAGCGTGACTTTAGCACTAGATTTAGCAACTTTCAGACCCTTTTAGCGGCTTTTTTCCATAGAATATTCATACTGACAAACCTAGCGGCTTTTTTGGATAAACCTTTGCTATGGTTCAGTTGGACGATTTCTCCAGTGCTGTCCCGCGAACGCGAGGTCTGACTTTCCCGGAGAAGTGTCGCCTCTCTCGGCGTCTGTTCTGTGCAGCGAGCGGCAGAGAAGCACCGCAGCCGACTCCTCAATAAATGAGTACAAAACAGCGTTTCCTAGCACCTGTCACTTACTGATTGTTTGGAATTATAAATATGAGCGTAGTTCGTCTGTTAATATCACATGCACTTTTTTGTTTGTTGTTTTTTTTAGTTCGTTACTCAGATGCAGGCAGTGCGCTGCATGAGACAAAAAAGTAATATACAGCCAAAACAACCGCATAACTGCTCTTTAGTGTAGATGCATGTTGATTTTATCAGACGATGTCGCGATTATAAATGAGAGTGACTCCTGGTTAGTATGTATTCAAAGGGGTCGTGTTTAGTCACTATATAGTGGTATTTTTAGACAATATTCACTCATCATGACAGTAAAATAGGGCATTCTAAGTCAATATACTGCAGTATTTCCTCTCTCAATCAGTAGAAAATATGGTTAACACCCGGTCATGCTTGAAAAAAAAAAAAACGTTATGTACCGTGAAACCGGTATAATTTTGAAAAATACCGTGATATAAATTTTTGGTCATAACGCCCAGCACTACCATCTATTATACAGCTGTCACAAGGTGAAAGGGTCATCAGAGTCACAACTATGGCTCGTAATGTGTCTTAGTTAATTAGCTAATCAGATTTGAGGAGTGAGTTTACAGTGCTATGCAGGAGGCCATCAGTCTCAGAGAAGAGTCTGGATTTTGCTGTGTATAATACTGTAGATGTCACAGACACTACATAATCAATGATCATATCAGCAATCATTCTGAAAGGGAAACCGCAACATCCTTTACTAATGACTTGATTGACTTAACTCATCAAAAGCTACAACGAAGTGTGGTTAATGGCTGATGACTCAAAGTTTGGTCAAATGTTTTAATGTTTTTTAAAGTCTATTCTGCTCACCAACGCTGCATTTATTTAATTAAAAATACAGGAAAAACAGGAATGTTGTGAAATAATATTACAATTTCTAATAACTCTAATTCTAATTCTCTTTTTTAATATATTTTAAAATGTAATTTATTCCTGCGATGCAAAGCTGAATTTTCAGCATCATTAATCCAGTATTTAGTGTCACGTCATCCTTCAGAAATCATTCTAATGTGCTGATTTGATGCTCAAGACACATTTCTTATTATTATCAATGTTGAAAACGGTTGTGCTATACATTATTATACCTTTTTTTTCCATTACTAGAGGGCCACTGGCAAACATGTATTGACCACAATATAAATGTGTTAAGCAAAATCTAAATGGCTAAATCTCTAGCGACTGACACATGATAGAGTCATACCAGCCAAGCATTCCTTTGTCATACATTAGAGTGGAAATACACACTGCAATAAGCCAAGAAAGAAATCAGGACACCCCATCACCATCCAGTTTCAGCACACTGGGACACGCAGAAATAGCAGGAGACAGAGAGAGAAGACAATATATACCATGATAGAGAGAAGAAAAGTAGAGGAAGAGGAAGGAAAGACAAAGAGAGACACTGTAACAGGGACATCAGAGCTAAAAACTCTCTCTATTAGCAATGCAATTCTGCCCTCAATTTAATGCTAAAAGATTAACATTATGTTAATATAGCCTACATACACTATTGATTCAAATTTTGGCGTCAGTAAAATGTTTTTAAAGAAATTCATACTTTTATTCAGCAAGGACACCTTAAATTAATATTAAAGTGACAATCAAGGCTTTTATAATTATACAAAAAAATATATATTTCAAATAAATGCTGTTGTTTTTAACTTTCGGTTAATAAAATAAATCATAAAAATGTATCACAGTTTTCACAAAAATACTTAGCAGCACAACTGTTTTCAGCATTGATAATAATCAGAAATGTGTCTTGAGCATCAAATCAGCATATTATACTGATTTCTGAAGGATCATGTGACACTGAAGACTGGAGTAATGATGCTGACAATTCAGCTTTGAATCACAGAAATAAATTACATTTTAAAATCTATTCAAGTAAAAAAAAAAGTTATTTTAAATTATAATAATATTTCACAATAGTACTGTTTTACTGTATCTTTTTTTTTTTATCAAATAAATGAAGCCTTGGTGAGCATAAGAGACTTCATGCAAAAAGAGCAGCTTGGACATTCTGAATAACATCTTGTTTCGGGGTTTCATGGTAGAAAGAAAATAATACAGCATTAGAATGAGTAAATTATGAACGTTTTCATTTTAAAATGAACTACGGATGAGACAAGAAGAGGGTAAGATTTCCGAAAAAAAAAAAAAAAGAATAATGGTCGAAAGGTGTGCAATCAAAAATCAAGTTGTTTCAAGTCAGCAAGAGGAATGGTGCTTTCATTGAGCTGTGTGTTGAAGGCCTGTTATGACTTGCAGGGAGAATCCAAATCTGCCACAACCTAATAGAGAGCGGGACAGATAAACCGGGACATCATCACTGTGCCTAGACGTTTCTAGTACAACTTCCAGAATATCTAGAGCTCTCCATTAGACGTTTATTACATAGTTTCATAGCTTACAAAGTGAAGTCCCTGTGCGACTACATACTAGAGCCATTTCATGACGCTAAAATAAAAGGAGACGTTTTCTAATATTGTTCTAAGATAAAAAATTCAAGCACACTGATAAACCATGTAGAGATAGTAAAGGAGGTGTATTTCCGTGCTGTGTGTACATAAGTGTGTGTATTTGCACATATGGTGTGGAAGTAGATTAAACAGTGTGTGAGACAGGTCACTTGAGTCACTGCGTGGTCGAACGCTGTTCTCGGACTTCTCTAGTTTACTGTATTAAACATAGCCGTTTCAGTATGTCCCTCCCTCTAAAATTAGTTTGAGCGCTCACGTGCACTACAAGCAGACAGTGTTTTGCCATAGCTAGTAGGTTAGCTAAGGTTGAGTGCCCTGTGCTATTTTGACTTTAGTGGTAGAGAGACAGCAAATGAACTTAAAGTGGATTGAGGGTTTAGGATTACTTCATCTGGTACGGTCTCAAGTATGGGCGAGTCGACAGGCAAGGAAAGATGTCTCAAAGCAAAGAAGAGGTGGAGGAAACTTTCATACAAATGTAGCAATGTTCGATTGGGCTACGTTTGACTCTTTATGACATCACAACACTCCCAATCACGTCCATTCAATAAAAATGCTTATTAATAAGACATCAGGATCATCTGAGGCAACTGGCTTCTGGACAGATTTCATTACTTCCATGACTTAGTATTTTTCCAGGAAATTTTTCCAGTGCTATATGTTTGAAGAAATACTTTAATAAGTGTTCTTTGGGTATACCCAATAAATACTGCATTTATTGCGTATTTTTAAATGGAAAGGTCAGGTGAAAAGTAATGATTTGAAATGAATATGCAAATCGTGCCTTTATCTATAAGCATTTGGTTAACAGATGTTCACTTGCATAATTTAGCAGACATTTAAAAAAGCATAAAAAAATGTAAGAATGAAAATCTATTTTTAAAATGAATGTTATAGATATTAAAGTGAATAATTAATCTGTGCATGCATTTCATTTTTAAAAAAATGTTTTGACCTCATAATTTTGAATCAAATTGTCAACTGGATCGTCTGGTGAAAATGGCAGCCTTCTCTATGGGGTTGTATACAGGACTTCTGCAATGGACCATTTTCACAGCTTCTGATGATACATTTGGTTAACAGATGTTCACTTGCATAATTTAGCAGACATTTAAAAAAGCATAAATGTAAGAATAAAAATCTATTTTTAAAATGAATGTTATAGATATTAAAGTGAATAATTAATCTGTGCATGCATTTCATTTTTAAAAAAATGTTTTGACCTCATAATTTTGAATCAAATTGTCAACTGGATCGTCTGGTGAAAATGGCAGCCTTCTCTATGGGGTTGTATACAGGACTTCTGCAATGGACCATTTTCACAGCTTCTGATGATGCACTTCCACAGTTATTAACATTGTGAATCTAGTTAAGTTTTTATTTTTAATGGTATTATGGCACACTCAGCTCCATGTAATGCATTTTACTATGTTAAAATCTATTCCACTAATTTTCCACCCAAATCAGTGTTGGAATTGTGAAAAACACCCTCAGATATCATCTAGGTCTGACTTTAAGGCACTACAGAGGAAATGTTTGAGCTCAGAGTCTTTTGACACAGACAGGATAGAAATGAAAATGCAATATAGACATGGTGTTGGTAGAGTCTGGGACTAGGCTAAATCTGGGTCTGTGAAGCTAGTCCTTGGAGCATGTAATCCTATGCTATGCATCCCAAGTATGCATACTTTCCTATTCTTTGAACTGAGTGTCGTCTTATAAGGTAATTTGCATTGAAACACAGATATGCAGACCGAGATTCTCTCATTGGCCGAGCCGATTAAACAAAGTGTGCTCATTGCAACTAGTGTCAGTTCCAAACTTTTATATTGTGTCTCTCTTGTTTGCTATCATTAATTATACATATATCTGCATTGTATCAGCTACACTGCTGATGATAGCAATTTGTTGTAAATTGAGGTTAGGTTTAATATCCGTACCACACAAACAACAGGCCCACAGCTTCTGACCAATGAGCTTCCATTATCTGACCGGTCGCTATTGCTCACTTTTTTTGAAAATAAATCATTTTTGGTGGGTCAAGACTCAAAAATGGATTGCAGTTCTGTTCTGATAAGGTCACGGACAGCAGTGGAAAAAACGCGAATACAATTCAATTTAACCACATAATCATTCATAGTTCAAATATCTACTTCCCATTTCTTTTATTTTTATCTCATATGGCATGCATCCATTCAAACTCTATTTTGCCACAAATTCATGTAGGGAGGGATGCACTGAAATTTCGGCCTCCAAAAATTATCACATGTCCTGATAATAATAGCTTTGTAGGACTATACATTATTTGGATAAATAGTAGTTATATCTGATCCTGTTGCATAGAACTGAATAAAAATAATATATTGATATTTAATATATATATACATTATCTGTCCAATTGTATTGTTACTTTCAATAAAAGTGTGGTTATTTTGGCTTGTGTTTTTTAAATTCAGTATCATTTAAATTATTGAGTTAAATTAAAAAGACTTACAAAATTACTTTATATTATTTTATAAAATAATAAATAATGACTACAAAGCATTTTCGGTTTCGGCCCAGAATTTCGGTGCATCCCTATTAATCAGTAATACAGCTAATACTAATATGACTTTAAGGATCTTAAGGATATTTGCCAGTTTTTATAACTGTGGATCGCTCATTTCTTCAGCTATGATTTCAGATATGGACTGAACTGCATCTACATGATTTTGAGATACGACTGCCTCTTATGTCACTGAACACTGAACTCATTAAATGTCATAACATATACAAGACTAAATATTACAATGAGACCACATAAACACAGTTCATCAACAATATTTCTAGATTTAAACATCTGTTTGGCCAGTGACACCTAATAAACCCACTCTCAAATCATAATGTCTAAAACCTGGCAAATTACTGTCACATCATAACCAAATATTAAAGGGGTCATATGATGAGATTTCAAGTGTTCCTTTCTCTTTGGAGTGTTACAAGCTGATTGTGCATAGATAAGATCCCTGAAGTTGCAAAGACTAAAGTCTCAAAACCAAAGAGATATTCTTTATCAAAGTTAAGACTCTGCCATTATTATATACCAACCTATTGAAGCACTGAAATCTGTTTTGTACTTTTGTAATACACTGATAACCACCAAATGCAGTTGGTGATGAGAAAGTCACATGATGAACAAAAGCCTATCACAAGTAGCTTCTAAATAATAACATATATAGAAGGTGCACAGTATTGTTCACACAAACACTAAACACGATCACGGTAACACACATGAAACTGAAATAATGCAATAAACATTCATTTAACAACATTAGTTGTAACACTCAACCCTAACATACCAAACTGATAAGAAAAAACTAAGAAGAAACATAGTTATTTCAACAAAACAACATCAAATTTGAAATGTAACGCAGGGAATTCTGGGAATGTCAATTTACGGTTATTCACTGTAAATTATACGGCCTTTTTCACTTCCAAAAACGGTATACTACCGTAAAATTAATGTCCAATACATGTAATGTCCAATACAGTTTTTCACCGTATATAGTAGGGGAATTTACCGTTAACCATTTAACAGGTTTTTACTGTTGCATTTTTACAGTCTTTTACCGTTAAATTCACAGTCATTTTTTTACAGTGTACAGAACAAATTATTGTTTTACGCTGGTCCCAAAAGACCACGATATTAACTGACTGGTCTTCACTTATATAATATTATATTATACATACTAATAAAGAGTATCATGTATAGCCTGTGTACGTTTATACAGCACCTTTTTGAACAAGCATTTTGGAGCACTGCCCGTCTCTACAACAGCGAACCACTGGGTTAAATACAGGCCTGCAGTGTATTTTTCTCATCTGAGTCTTGTTGAAAGATGGTCTCGGTGTATTTGTAACCATAATAGAGCAGATATGTGCTGTGCAAATGACCAAGAGAGAGCTGAAAATTCGGTCTCATTATAATCCCTTCCCATGGAGACTTTCGCCCAAATTATCACCATCCTTTTCAGAGTTTCACCAGCTCAGGCATGACAAAGAGGAGGAGAAATAAATGAGGAGAAATTCTGTTCAGACTGAAATGTTCTGTGGTACAACAAATAGATACAGTGCTTGACTGGTGAACAGATTCCCTGATGGATCACTTGTTTGGAGCCTTTAATAGTCACATCTTATTTCACTTGAGCACTTTGCAGTCATCTATCTCACACACAGCGGCCCCATGATGGTTACAGGTCATATTGTGCAGGTTTGCTGCTGAAACTCTGCTCGTCTTTTACTGGAAGACCTCTTTGTTTATCCACATGAGGCTACGGGTCTCGTTGGGCTTGGCCTCGTACTCGATGCAATTGAAGCTGTTGCCGAACTGGCAGTGTTCTCTCTTGTAGTAGTTGTAGTATTTCACTTGCCATACAGTTTCAAACATACCGGCATCTTTGAACTGGCAACAAAAAGAAGATGGAAGGTTAGAAACATTTTACAGTTCAGTTCTTTCTACTTGATCAGTTGGCTGAGTGATTTGTCTTTAGTTACAGATGCATGAACGTTTACATGCTTGCACTTCCATAACACATTGAAAAATGAACAAAAAATGCTTTGACATTGTTAGAAAAAAAGCATGTCTTGTTAACTAGATGTACAGCAGCAATCTGACTACACCAATTTAGCTTGCAGTCTATACTTTTTTTTTTTTTGCATATTTGCGATTATTTGAGGTGTTACAGATTGCACTTTCAAAATATAAATTTTTAAGAAATTTGTAAACAAAACATATTCTTGCAGTACATTTCACAAGAAAATACTATTTCAGTTTTCCTACTTCAAAATTTCACATTTAATTCAACATGTTTCTTGTGAATTTTTTTTGTGTGAAATTTTATTAGTAATTTCTGAGTGAAAATTGTTTAAAAGTAAAACATACACCAATTTGTTTTAGTTTTTTCAGTGTGGTCACTTGCTTTCCATTTAACATAGGCTAGATGAAATATTAAAAACTGAAAATATAATTTTCAAGGTTGATACATGTTTTGGAGATTACCGTTAAAATATATTGTAAATAACAATATTGGCCAAAAATATATATTAATAAATAAATTAGGGATGTATATTTTTTGCACCCTTAAAGCGTCAATTTTAGAATTTTAGAGACTAGTATTTAACAAAGTAATATACCAATTCTAATCTATATATATATTTTTTTACAATTTTCTGAAGAAAATGTAAGAGTTGATTGCCCTCTCTAAAAAAAATTCACTGAATTCAACTGACACCTATTTTTTTTAAGTGTATTCAAATTGTCTGTAAAAATATGTAATAAAATAAAATAATTAAGTTGAAAGGGGGTCAATTATTTTGATGAGTTAAAGTAACGGAAGAACATATTTTTACACGATTTCTCAAGCATCGGTAGGTAGTTGGCATGGTGTTTATATGAGTTTGCTGTATGGTGTTCTGGGTGGTTTCTTACTGGTCCAGCTCAAAGAGTACATCCCCCAAACTGTATGACATTCTGACCTCCACATATGACTCAAAACTAAGATTTTTTTTGCCTGTTTTATTATCTTTCAGGTGCAAATCAGGAGTCTTGTAAAGTAACACAAGCACCAGCTCCTCAGTAATTTGAGGCATCATTTACGTCCGTAGCCAAAACAGTGTGGTACAAGTGAAATCTAATGCCAAGGCTGAATTTAGCTTCAAATCTCAAATCCTCCTGAACAATTTAGCATCTAGCAATTCTGTGTGATTGCATAATGAATTATATTCTATTCTATTCCCGGCTGGGCTGTGTTACCTCTATGAAGACCTGCACAGGTTGTCTGTCCCCGCTCTTGGTGTGTGGCACACCCTCAGTGTCGTAGGGGCCATTGTAGACGACCTGCTCTTCATCTTTGGACTGCTGCTCCAATGGGAAGCTCTTTCCGCCGATTCCCATTGTGCTGAAAACCCCGTTTAAACAAGTGTCAGACTATCTGCCTGTTTAGCTTATTTGACACACATCTGAAATTCCTTCTGTCAATAAAACATTAACGACTCGTACTTGTAACATGGTTCAGTTTCACAGCATTTCTAAATAACGTAGGCCTACTGCGCAAATAAAGAATCGACTTTAATGCATATACATACGGCAGTCTATTTATATCACATAGCCTACACGATATATTTCCTTTCTTACAGGAGCGCAGGTGCAGCTTTCGGCCCCAGTGTTGCGAAAAACTCAAGGTTGATACATGTTTTGGAGATTACCGTTAAGGTTATTGGTATCGGCCAAAATTTTCATAAAATATATATTAATAAATAAATATATATTTTTTGCACCCTTAAAGCGTCAATTTTAGAATTTTAGAGACTAGTATTTAACAAAGTAATATACCAATTCTAATCTATATATATATTTTTTTTACAATTTTCTGAAGAAAATGTAAGAGTTGATTGCCCTCTCTAAAAAAAATTCACTGAATTCAACTGACACCTATTTTTTTTAAGTGTATTCAAATTGTCTGTAAAAATATGTAATAAAATAAAATAATTAAGTTGAAAGGGGTTCAATTATTTTGATGAGTTAAAGTAACGGAAGAACATATTTTTACACGATTTCTCAAGCATCGGTAGGTAGTTGGCATGGTGTTTATATGAGTTTGCTGTATGGTGTTCTGGGTGGTTTCTTACTGGTCCAGCTCAAAGAGTACATCCCCCAAACTGTATGACATTCTGACCTCCACATATGACTCAAAACTAAGATTTTTTTTGCCTGTTTTATTATCTTTCAGGTGCAAATCAGGAGTCTTGTAAAGTAACACAAGCACCAGCTCCTCAGTAATTTGAGGCATCATTTACGTCCGTAGCCAAAACAGTGTGGTACAAGTGAAATCTAATGCCAAGGCTGAATTTAGCTTCAAATCTCAAATCCTCCTGAACAATTTAGCATCTAGCAATTCTGTGTGATTGCATAATGAATTATATTCTATTCTATTCCCGGCTGGGCTGTGTTACCTCTATGAAGACCTGCACAGGTTGTCTGTCCCCGCTCTTGGTGTGTGGCACACCCTCAGTGTCGTAGGGGCCATTGTAGACGACCTGCTCTTCATCTTTGGACTGCTGCTCCAATGGGAAGCTCTTTCCGCCGATTCCCATTGTGCTGAAAACCCCGTTTAAACAAGTGTCAGACTATCTGCCTGTTTAGCTTATTTGACACACATCTGAAATTCCTTCTGTCAATAAAACATTAACGACTCGTACTTGTAACATGGTTCAGTTTCACAGCATTTCTAAATAACGTAGGCCTACTGCGCAAATAAAGAATCGACTTTAATGCATATACATACGGCAGTCTATTTATATCACATAGCCTACACGATATATTTCCTTTCTTACAGGAGCGCAGGTGCAGCTTTCGGCCCCAGTGTTGCGAAAAACATCTATATGCAAATACCTATAATATCAGGAGCATATAAACAGGATCAATTTGACCGCGTTCATATTGAATGGACTTACGTGGCCTCCGCGCTACCCGGTTTCACGATCACCTCGATTTTGTATTTCGATCCTGTCAGCAATTTGATTGTCCTGCTCTGGCCGAACCTCGTCCCGTCCACTTTATAAAACACGGGTCCGTCATTGGGTTGGATTTTCAAAGAAATCGCGATGTTTATTATCGCCGGAACGTCGGCCATAGCTGCGAGATACCGGAGCTCGGTGTATTTCCAGGGCTCCCGGTCATTAACGGGATGGCGGACGGTCTCAGGAAGCTGTGGAGAGATGCTGTGACGCCTGCACAAGCCATCACGCCCATTTAATCATGCAGCATACATTTATGCATATGGCTAGACTGGGCTCATATAATTGGCATTGCTAAAATAGGCGTTGCTACCCTATCGATTGTTTTGTTTGTTTATTTTTGTCATGTTGTGTATTGTATCCTAGGATTCAAAAATAGTGTAAATAGCTTATTAGCATTAGATTTAGATCCTAATCCCATTGTGTTAGTGTCCATCTCCGTTATCCTCGCGATTAAAAACAGTCCCTGTCCAAAGTGCTGAAACTGAAGAGTCGTGTATTAGCTACGCTAATAATACTGCCTGCGGTAGGCTACTGAGCCATTTTTAGTGAAAGAAGTACATTTTAAATGCACTAAACACAAAACACTGCTATTACGTGTTTAGTGAGCTTGAAATGTTAATAAAACATTAATATAATTAACTAAATTAATTATAAACCTATTTTTAATTGGCTGTTATGAGGGTTTTTTGATATGCATGTTTATGCAGTTTTGTCTTTGCAGAAAGCTTTGTAACAATAGCAGTTATATAAAATCATTAATTTGAATTAAAACAGGATGTGTGTACATTTTTAATGGACAGTCAGACCAATACGTGTCATTTTAAATGACATTTATGCCATTTAAAAATATATAATGAGAGGAATATACATAATTTGAGTGATTGAGTGACTTGAGTGAAGTTCAAAAGCAGGCCAATTATATTCTCATTTAACATTAATAATCATTTTATCTCACAGATTCCTCCATTATGAGTTCATATGGCATAGTTCACCCCAAAAAATTTAATTTTCTGAAAATGCACTCACTCTCAGGCCATCCAAGATGTAGATGAGTTTGTTTCTTCATCAGAACAGATTTGGAGAAATGTAGCATTGCATCACTTGCTCAGCAGTGGGTGCTCTGCAGTGAATGGGTGCCGTCAGAATGAGAGTCCAAACAGCTGATAAAAACATCACAGTAATTCACGCGACTCCAGTCCATAAATGAACCTATTTATCAATTACTTTAATTTAGCTTGAGACGGCACAATGCTACTTATTAGCAGTAAAAAATATTTTTTTGTCTGATAGGACTGAAAAGATACTCAGAATTGCTTTTCGAAGTCTCTTTTTAAAAAATTAAATAAGCTTTCCATTTCACAACAAGGCAATGCTAGTTCATACATACTGATTTCTCACTGTGTACGAAAAACGCCTTTTCACATGGCAAAAACTGTGCATTTAAATGTAACAATATTTCTATGTTTTAAATGATTATGTGGTTATAAAGATAAGACATATGCATACAGATAGCAGAAAGAGAGAAATGGAAAGAGAGGTCAGCAATGAAGAGGGAAGTACAGCATTGGGACACATAATATTCATTAATATATTAGCTTTGATAAAATAATAGTTGCATTATTTAAGGCAAAACATGTTTTGGGAGTGACTCTAAAAAAAAAATCAAATAAATTAATAAAAATCAATACTTAAATCAAAATGTGCACAGCTTTGTTGATCTAAAAAAAAAAAGAGACAAGATCTCTCTCTCTCGGTTCCATCTGCAAAACGCTTCCATCATATGAAACCTATAAAACCTCATTACAGTCTCAAGCAAATTTCAGTAATACAACTAACATGTTCGGTAACCAGTGACTCTAAAAAAAATCAAATAAATTAATAAAAATCAATACTTAAATCAAAATGTGCACAGCTTTGTTGATCTAAAAAAAAAAAAGAGACAAGATCTCTCTCTCTCGGTTCCATCTGCAAAACGCTTCCATCATATGAAACCTATAAAACCTCATTACAGTCTCAAGCAAATTTCAGTAATACAACTAACATGTTCGGTAACAAAAGCCACATTATCATGTCTTTTTTTAGCCTTTGTGCTTTTTTCCCAATACCGATTACAAAATATTCCATAGAATTATTTGCCCAGCAAGTGTTTCAGTCATAATGCTTCCATTGTAGACACAGCTGATGTATTTCAGTCCATTGGCAGGATCCCAAAAGTCTCTGTTTGCTCTATCTATCCAGTTCCGCCTCCAGTATCTCTCCCCAGGTCTCCACGTCCAGTGGACACATGCTGTTGGATGGGATATCGTCAGCAGAGCGGATGTTACTGTATCGGCCCTTCAGCCACCTCCGCTTTACGCAGCCTTTCCTGTAGTTACGAACAAGAGTAACCTGGCACAAAAAGGAAAGGTAAATAAGAAACAAACAGCAGAGGCAGGAACAAAATGAAGCAGAATATCACTTCATTTGAACAGCAATAGCACAAACCTTCCATGAACACCCAGCAAGCCTGTCCCCGTCCACCTCCCTCCGGCAAATAGCCAGCACCGAAAGACAGTGGCTCCTCCACAGCTGATCGCGGCCCTCGATTATGTCATTCCAGTGTCTGCAGGTGAGCGAGGCCCGGCACAAACTCCTGACGTCCAGCTCACTGAAGATCCTCACGCTCATCTCAGTAGGGAGGGTCTCTGTGAAGCTCTGCTGAAGTGGATCCTGGCCACCAGGGATCATTAAGGTGGCTCCTCGCTTTGGGCTGAAGGTGGCGCTCTTGCTCCTTTTGCAGACATTCTGCATCTCTCAGCGTCCTAGAGGAGTTTCAGTTTGATTTCCATTGAGCTCAACAATGACAGAACATTTGACTTACGAATAATCCATTCTTTAAGCAATACATAGGTTATCGTGTGCGTGTAACTGAACGGTCGCAGTAACGTTATCTGTTCGTTCGTGGACAAAGCCACCACCTACAGTACGTAACTCTAGCTAACCAGTGGCTAGAATAGATTCTAAAACAAATACATCTATATAATTGCATGCAGTACGAAAAACTAATGTATTAAATCAATATGTTACTTGTAACGATTCATACCGGCGGAGGCGTCTCGTTGACAGCTGAGGATTTAAACGTCTGCGTTTGTTTACACCGGAAGCGTCACGACGCCCCGTTCTCACTGCGCATGCGCGTCTCTTCAGCGGAAATTTGAAGTTGTTTTGATTCCGCATTATTATAATGCAGAATTTGAGGTATAAGCTACATTTTATATTATTTGTGTGCAAAATGTGTGCACCTTTTGGGTAAAAGTTTAGAAAAGAGCCCACGTGCGTGTTTATACAGCGCGTGCTCATCGCGGAGTTCACCGGAAGTCCGAAAAATAATAATTAATATTAATTTCTTGCCGCACTTCTCAGTCAGTTTCTTTAGCGTTGAAGCGGCTCTAACGAATTCGTCTTCGCGACCTAATTAAATAGAAAGTATTTTCTCTCTTAAAGTAATAATGGGAGAGTTTGTGTTGAGAAAGATTTAAGTCTGCAGCGCGGGCGAGCTCAAATCTGCTTTACAGCATTTGTACACGCATTAAAGATATTTGATCACTGAACATGAAGTCCAAACAGGTCTGTGTGTCTTATGCACAGATGCCAGGCTTCGAGCTGGAGCAGGTGGACGGTGGCAGTCCTATAGAGCTGCCCTATGGAGAAACTGTTCTGGGGAGAGGACTATTTCTAGGGCTAGGTTAACCATTACTAATATGTCTTTAAAATATATTAGATGGCATGCTAATGTTCTTGCCATTGTGCAAATTATCAGGCTATAACTAATAAACTCGAGTGCCTGAATTTGAGTCAAGTCTGTTGTGCACTTTTACAGAAATACTGCAAAGCTCAGTAGGCATGGATGAATTACCCAAGGGAAAAAATACTGTCTTTATGTTATTTATAATTATATGTTATTTAAAAACATTACATATTATGTTTATGTTTTTGCAGTGAGGGTATCTATACAGTCATGGCCAAATGTTTTGGCATTGACATAAATTGTGTTTTGCAAAGTTTGCTGCTTCAGTATTTGAAGATTATTGTTTTTCCACATGTTTCTATGGTATACTGAAAAAAAAAGTTTTAAAGGCTTTTTTTGGCAAAAAAAAATATATAATAAGTCAATATTTACAGTGTTGACCCTAGTTCTTTATAACCTCCGCAGTTCGCTCTGGCAAGCTGGATATTAGCTTCTGGGCCAAATCCTGACTGATGGCGATCCATTCTTGCCTTATTAGTTCTCGGAGTTGATCACACTTTGTGGGCTTCTGCTTGTCCACTCGCCTTTTGAGGACTGACCACAGGTTCTTTATTGGATTGAGATCCGGGGAGTTGCCTGGCCACGGATCCAAGATTTGAATGTAATGATCTTCGAGCCACTTCTTTATCACTCTTGCTTTGTGACATGGTGCTCCATCATGCTGGAAAATGCAGATCATCACCAAATTGCTCATGGATCGTTGGGAGAAGTCGCTCTTGCAGGACGTTTTGATACCATTCTTTATTCATGGTAGTGTTTTTGGGCAGAATTATGAGAGAGCCCACTCCCTCGGTTGAAAAGCAACCCCACACATGGATGGTCTCAGAGCGTCTCGTTGACAGCTGAGGATTTAAACGTCTGCGTTTGTTTACACCGGAAGCGTCACGACGCCCCGTTCTCACTGCGCATGCGCGTCTCTTCAGCGGAAATTTGAAGTTGTTTTGATTCCGCATTATTATAATGCAGAATTTGAGGTATAGGCTACATTTTATATTATTTGTGTACAAAATGTGTGCACCTTTTGGGTAAAAGTTTAGAAAAGAGCCCACGTGCGTGTTTATACAGCGCGTGCTCATCGCGGAGTTCACCGGAAGTCCGAAAAATAATCATTAATATTAATTTCTTGCCGCACTTCTCAGTCAGTTTCTTTAGCGTTGAAGCGACTCTAACGAATTCGTCTTCGCGACCTAATTAAATAGAAAGTATTTTCTCTCTTAAAGTAATAATGGGAGAGTTTGTGTTGAGAAAGATTTAAGTCTGCAGCGCGGGCGAGCTCAAATCTGCTTTACAGCATTTGTACACGCATTAAAGATATTTGATCACTGAACATGAAGTCCAAACAGGTCTGTGTGTCTTATGCACAGATGCCAGGCTTCGAGCTGGAGCAGGTGGACGGTGGCAGTCCTATAGAGCTGCCCTATGGAGAAACTGTTCTGGGGAGAGGACTATTTCTAGGGCTAGGTTAACCATTACTAATATGTCTTTAAAATATATTAGATGGCATGCTAATGTTCTTGCCATTGTGCAAATTATCAGGCTATAACTAATAAACTCGAGTGCCTGAATTTGAGTCAAGTCTGTTGTGCACTTTTACAGAAATACTGCAAAGCTCAGTAGGCATGGATGAATTACCCAAGGGAAAAAATACTGTCTTTATGTTATTTATAATTATATGTTATTTAAAAACATTACATATTATGTTTATGTTTTTGCAGTGAGGGTACTGCAGTCGAACCTCTCTCCTTGAAGTTCTTGATGATCCAGTAAATGGTTCTTTCAGGTGCAATATTCTTTGTAGCATTTTCCTTGCATGCATGCATTTTGAAGCAAAGCGAGGATGGCTGCACGTGTTTCTTTGGAGGTTTTCATTGCTTACAAGAACACAATGATTGGAAGCGTTTCTTCCCTCCTTTTATAGCAATCAGTCTGCTCTTACAATCTCATTAGTATGATAGTGATTCACCTGATTAGTACTCATTCACACTTTCACATGTGCTGCTGATATGATTAGTCAGTTAATGTTAGCTGGTCATTTTGTGTCAGGATCAAAAAACAGTGAAATTCTTATTTTTTTTTGTGTGTGAAAAGTTCATTTTTTTGGCCAATTAAGCTTTTAGCAATTATTTAAAATGCATCTGATCACTCTACACAATAATCTAGAAACAATGTGAATGAACACCACAACAGCTTAAGCAGCAAACTTTGTAAAACACAAAATGTATGTCACTGCCAAAACTTTTGGCCATGACTGTATATATTATTCATGTTGCTTTAGCATAGAACTTTATGGTATAAAACAACACACAAAACAAATGTTACTTTCAGTTTCATGCATGAGCATTTCATCATTCAGCAATCAAAGCCCTCAGGATGGCACCCTTATGTTTGAGGGTTAGAAATCAGAGAGACTGAGGTGGAATATCTCACAGAGTGCTCCATGAACTGAAACGTTTTTTTTTTTTTTCAGTGTATTAACAAACCTCAGAAGTCCTGACAACAGTTATAAAGCATGGATTATTTTTTGAAGACCCAATAAAATCAAAATGGGAGTTTGCTTTAAGATAGTCTATATGCTGGTGTACACAAAAAGTTATAGGAATACATACACTACTGTTCAAAGGTTTGAGATAGACAGGATTTTATTCCAGTGAGGAAAAGCTGAATTTTCAGGATCATTACTCCAGGCTTCAGTGTCACATCGTGATCATTCAGAAATCGTTCTAATATGCTGATTTGCTGCTCAAGAGTCTTCTCTTATTGCTCTTATCAATGTTGAAAACAGTAGTGATGCTTCATATTTTAGTGGAAATCTTTTGCGATATTAAAAATGTCTTTACTGTCACTTTTGATCATTTTAATAATGCATCCATGCTCAGTAAAAATCTTACTGACCCCAAAGCTTTGTACCATTCACCAGAAGCATTCGTACTTTTCAAGATACAGTTTATCGTCATATAGTTTTGCAAAGAGTTATATATCTGTTTCACTGTGTCTTTGCTCTCTTCCAGGTGAATGATAAGAGAGTGTCCAGGAACCACGGCATCCTTGAGAACCAGAATGGTCAGCTGCGTCTGAAGCCTGTAGGTTTTTGTTAGTCATTTGATGTGGGCTGAGAGTCGGGATGGTGGTTTTATTTTACGCTCTTCTATCAAAGAAAAGCGGTGCTCACCTTTGATGTTAAGACAGCAAAAGCTTTTAAATATGAGCTCTCTCCTCGCATCTTTCTCTCTTAAGCAGCTGTCTCTCTTAATTACATGTGTCGTCGTTATAGCCTGTTAGTCATGCTGTCATAGCAACAATAATTTCTGGGTTATTTGGGTAATGTTTGCTTCCATTGGTCTTTCGACTCTGAGTATATAACAAGCCCTTGTTTTCAAAAATCTCATAAATATTCGGATTATTGAGTTAATTCATTAAACATACTTTTTTTCCCAGCTGCACAAGCTCGATTCATTGTTGTTGTTGTTGTTATTATTAATTAAAACTATTAATTTGTATTGTTAATTGAAATAATAAATAATTGAAAAGCTGACATAACAAAATATAAATATTAGATGGAAAAAGTTAAACAAAACGGCAAACAAATTTATTTTAAAAATAAATAAAATAGAATACAAAAAATATATTTAAAAAGTTGTTCTAAGTACTAAAATGTATAGAAACATACATAAGAAATATGGCAAACGCTCAAAAAAAGGCTAAAACTTAAACTAAATAAAAATAAAATTAGTGCTGTTAAAGGATTAATCGCGATTAATCGCATCCAAAATAAGAGTTTTTGTTTACATAATATATGTTGGTGTATTGTACACCATATAAATACACACACATACAGCATATATTTTGAAAATATTTACCTGTATTTACATTCATATAATTTATATGCATATAAATATATTTAATATATAAACGCAATATATTTTTCTTAATTATATACATGCATGTGTGTGTATTTATATGTACATAATAAATATACACAGTACACACACATAATATGTAAACAAAAACTTTTATTTCGGATGCGATTAAAAAAGCTTTTAAATATGAGCTCTCTCCTCGCATCTTTCTCTCTTAAGCAGCTGTCTCTCTTAATTACATGTGTCGTCGTTATAGCCTGTTAGTCATGCTGTCATAGCAACAATAATTTCTGGGTTATTTGGGTAATGTTTGCTTCCATTGGTCTTTCGACTCTGAGTATATAACAAGCCCTTGTTTTCAAAAATCTCATAAATATTCGGATTATTGAGTTAATTCATTAAACATACTTTTTTTCCCAGCTGCACAAGCTCGATTCATTGTTGTTGTTGTTGTTATTATTAATTAAAACTATTAATTTGTATTGTTAATTGAAATAATAAATAATTGAAAAGCTG